TTACATACTGGTGCATATTTTCGACACCTTCCACGTAAGTTGTTGTAAGTAATTTTTTGCTTTTTAACTTAAATATATTCTTTTTTTATTATGTTATAGGTTCATTGTTTGAAAGCAAAGAAATTTCTTTACTTTTAAATATGGAACCTACAATATGCATATGCATACTTAAAAAGTTAAAAAAATGGCAGGTATTTTAACTTAGGGGAAAGGTGTACGAGATGATCCTTGGAGGTAAGATGATCCTTTTCAATTGTAACGAAACTATATAGCAACGTTATCTAGATATTTTCTTCAGTAAAATGTAGGCCTCAATATGTGACGAGTTCATTTTTGTGGAAAAGAACAAAAATTGTGTGAGTTTGATCTAAGGTAAAGTTGATTAAAACGTTAGACAACTTCCATTCTAAGCAATCAATTGCTAAGATTTTTGTGTTGGTGGCTTTGTATAATGCTCCATTTACTTAATGATGTGGTACCAGTAGATAGCATACATGTTATTTTGCCGAAAAATAAGTAAATTGGGGCAAGATGATTATAGTTTTGGTGTACGAGATAATCCGTGGAGATCATTTTGTACTGTATACATATATTGTTAACGGACTATTTTTAATGTGTATTTTTTTCTGATTGCTATAACCTCTTAATTAAATAGATAGCGATACGAATAAAATAGTAGAAGACTGAATTTCATTTACATGATCGATCTCCTTTAATAACAAATATAAATGCTTTTTCTTGTTTTAGACCAGGCCGCGTAATTGTAAAAGAAAAACCATTCGTGGTGGGTGGTCGGAAGACTATGATCTAAAGAACTAGGGGCGTAAAAAGTAGGACGCCACATAGATCGGCAAGTAAATAGTTAGCAGTAGGTACGCGTTATATCATTAAAAAGACGGGCTAAAGCATTGACTTACAATTATATGGACGTCGGGTCCGCGCTAAAAAGTGTCCGCACTGTAAGGCGCTAAAATCGTATACAGAGCGCGACACTCCGCTTTAGTCTTCATTTGTTCTACTGACAGCGCGATACTGCGATGACATTACAATTTAAATTTCGAATAGGTTGACTTGGGACATTTTTTTCGTGGTTTTTGTATTAGACCCGTCGTCCATTTATTTGTAAGTCAATGGGCTAAAGGTAAAAATAAAGGATCGGTCAGTGCAATGAAATATTTAGTTGAAAAAAAAACTGTTTTCATCAGATGTGTTAAACAGGAAATCGAGCTCGTAAAAAGTACATTAAAGATATGGAGACGAGGATGGATAGCAACTTGCCTAAAAAAAAATATCGCCCACCCTTAGGTACCTGTAAGATATAAATAATTACGATTATTTGTTCTCGAAGTTCCGTAACTGTTGTTTCATATACCTAGATTACATAAGTGAGGACTTTGTAAAGTCTAAAAAGTTGTTGTCATTTGTTTCTACCAAAACCTAGAAATTTTCCTAAATAGAGGCAAGGTGATTCCCTGGATCATGTTGCCCATACGCTTAGGATCATCTTGGATACCCCGGTGTCCGTTTTTAGTAAGACAACACGTAAATAGATAATTTTTCTATCATTCAACGCTTTTACATCTGCTTTAAGCTGTATATCTTTTGATCTACCACATTCTCCGTTAAGGGGATCATCTGGTACACGTTTCCCCTATAACAACTTATACGTCGGAAGTATCAATTCGTTTTATGTACCTAGTTCGTAGTAGTTTAGACTTTCGCGTGATAAAAGCACTTTTCACGTATGTGGCTTTATTTATACCAAGGATACGATTTTAAGATCTTTTTCGTTTTCTTTGTCACCTGTGGATAGAAAATACTGAACAAGACTCACTAAATGTGCTGATGGATATGCAACTGTATTAGTCTAAGCATATTTTTATAGTTGTTGAATTACTTAATAACACACAATAAGTAATAGGTATATATATATATCTGTATCAGCTGAAACGTAATATCTTGTTGACTAACACAAACCGCAAATGTTTCAAGTTTATTTCACATTATTATAACACGAGTAAATAAAGACTAGATTTGAATGTACGAGTACTATACCATGCGACTCGAAATTTCACTGAAATAGAAATTGAAATAATAATGTGGAACGAGTATTACGATATAATATCTTGATAAAAAGATATTTTGAATCCGCAATTTAGTGTTAGTCGCTTCGTTTACCTAGACTTGAAGAACAAGGTAAAGTGTTAGACCGGGCGCCCATTGCCGGACGGCATGACACATAATTCTTCGACATTCCTACAGCGAGTGCATACTAACGACTATTAAGATGCCGAAGCATACCGTCGCGACATCGTGTTCGCGCCTGATCAGATCAGTCCTAACGTTTTAAGCTGGATTATTACCAGTTATATATTTTAAATGGTAGTGTTGCTGAAGAAGAAGCTAACCACATTCCATGAAGAAAATTGTGGGTGAATAACCTTCGTAACCCTGCCTAAGCATCCCGAAGGCTTCCGACTCGACATCCCTAAGCTTTTTTTAGCTACGACTATAACAATTAAAATTTCAACTATAATTTCATAACATTAATGGTTATCGTCATCGTTTCTAAAAGTTCCACGCGGTGTCGTCCCGTCAGTAGGCGCTGGGCCTTAGTTTCATAGTCCTAAGACCCCGTCCTTTATAAAGTTTTGCTCTTTTAATGACAAAGATGCGGAGTACGGAAAAATACAGATGTGCCAGTTATTTGAATATGCCCGGTACGAGCAATAGATGGCGTTGGTAATAGACCTGCAGAGTAACTGAACATCATTAAGTGCTTTAAATTATATCCTGGACTGACCTCATACGATACGGGAAAAATACTGTTTTTGTTTGTTGAATCGGTTATCCAGCTGAGCCGTCCATACTTCTATTTTATAGTTTAAAATGGTATGGAATGTTTTATATACAATCGGATAAAAGTTCCTAAACAAAAACAAATAAAAACCTCGCTTTTTGCTAGATATATGTATATATAATTACGTGTTCCTGTTTGTTGTTAAAAAATAATAACCTTATTTATTTTAAAAAATACGTATGATTGTATTCAGTCAATGTAAATTACTTCATCATCCTGTCATTATTTTAATATTTTCTATTGTGATTATGAAAGTAATCAATAATAAAATTTTAGACTTAAATACAGTTCATTACATAATGACCCCTGTTATAGTTTTACGTCTTATATGCCAATTGGTTCTTCTTAAATAAACAAAGTTACCTTGGACTAAAATACATTGTAAGGGGTAGAGAAAAAAAAATACATAAGTAGGTACTCCGAAGTTATTATAAATGTGTACGACGTTTAATTAACCACATACCGGTCGCTTTATGCGGGTTTTTCAATACATGTAAAGAAATCACGCCACACAATTAAAGGACCACCACACTTATCGGCTTGAGCAAGTCAGAAAAAGTTTTATATCTATAAAAAATTTATATATATATAATAAAAGCGCAAATGGGGTTGCTCGTTTCGCTTTCACTCGGATCACAGATGCGAAACGCACAACATCTTTTTCGTTCGTATAACACAAACATAAAGCTTTTTCCTACCAGCTTAATACGGTTCCATGTCGATTAGGTGGTGACTGTCTAAGGCAGTAATAGCATAATATATATTACAGGTTACAGGAACTTAGTCTCGAGTTCTTAACTACAACTTTAGAACGTTCATGTCCAAACTTTTAATGTAATGGTGTGTTCAGTAATATAAAAATATAGCATAATTTATATGTACACAATGAAAGTTTATTATTTATTTTCAACTTTACAGCTTTTTAAATCAAATTTATATTCTTAATTCACAACTTAGCAATACAAAGTCTGTTATTTAAACAATTCATTTAAATCATTAATTTCTAATAAATTAAGTGAAGTGAAGAATAAAGTGAAGTTAGAGAAAACATAAGTAACTATTATATACCTAACAAACTATAATTGCAAGGACAGTATTCACATGTGTATGTTTCGCTTGTGTAAATATGCTATGTGTAGCAAGTCATGCTCGGCTCAAACATATACACAGTTCCGAGTTCCGAAATCCGAAGACGAACTAAAGCCCAGTACATATTAGGAGATCGGATAACGAACTGGAGCTAGGCAGGACATTTTGCGAGGCGTTGTGAAGACAGATGGTGTAAAGGAACAACCGAATGGTGGCCAAGAAATGGTCATAGAAACGTGACACGTCGTCAAAGTTGTGAGTCGTACATTTACGACTCAAGTCCTGTACTAGTCTCACCAATGGGTGATCGATCGTATTGGATGGAGGAAAACCCATACCCAGCAGCCTGTTAAGTCGGGCTAATAATAAATATAAAAAATAAACGTCTAATTTTTTATTAAAAAGTAGACATAGATAATTAATAAGCACTTTTACTTTACGTTGCCGTAAATGAAAGCCTATACAGGATTGCTCATACAATATTAATAACGTGTGTGTGCATTGTGGGCACCGTCTCAAGAAAGTTTATAAAATATTCTAGTCATTTCGTAGAAGTTCTAAAACAATTGTTCTATTTAGAAAATAAAACAAAAGATAAATAACTTATTCTCATAGAGGGCCTATGAGATCCAGAAAAATGATAAGTTTGCATGTAATATTTGTATACTAGTTTTAGTCGTAGTTTTGTGAAATTATCGTTTTTAATAACAGATCTTATGTTCACACATTCCACACACTTTCAAAAGAAACGATTTAATACAAACCAACTAATAGAATTAAATTAGGACAATTCTAGAAAAAGTTATAAGTGATGAAGTGAAACCAACGTTGTGGATTGTTTTTGAATAATTTTTTTTTAAGTGCTCACTCAATCCTTCCATTTCCGAAAAGTAAAACGTCATTAACTTTTATTAATATTGTAAACAGAAAACGTTGAGGTAATGTGCCTCTAATGAGCGAAAGATTTTACATAAAAATAAGACCGTTTCATACCATGTTAAGAATAATATTGTATAAAACGCAATAAAAAATGTAACATTTTTCCTACCAGCCATAGCAGAAATACGCAGCCAACTGCCAGAAGACCTCAAGTTATTCCAGTTATACGGCGACAAGGCTCCAGGTGTAGTGGACTTGGGCGAAGAGATGAAGAAGCAGCCCTCTACCTACCCGGTCGTCACCGATAAACCACAATACAAAGATACCCTGCTTTATATTTACACCTCTGGAACAACTGGAATGCCTAAAGCGGCGCTACTACCGAATTCTAAGTAAGTGCTGGGAAATGCATGACTACATCTTGTTGAGACTTAAACTGTTTTCAAAATTATTAAAAAGCTCTTATTTCATTGGTGTACCAAAGAAGCTTGATTTTAGATACAGGTAATTTAAATATTGTTACATATATATATTGTTACAGGTATCTGCTGGTGGTGGTAGCAACAGTGCATATGCTGGGTTTGAATAAGAAGGACCGGCTGTACAACACTCTGCCCCTATACCACACGGCGGGTGGCGTGGTAGGGACCGGCGCCGCCCTTGTTGATGGTATACCCACCATCCTGCGTACAAAGTTCTCAGCTTCAAATTATTGGAAGGACTGTATCAAGTTTAATGCTACAGTAAGTCTAATCCGGCTGTAACAAATCACCGTTCATTGTTAACTTTTGTTTGATATAAAATAAACATTAATCATTTTATAACTTTGATACTACGCTGCCCTCCTTCTCATAAACAACCTATTCTCATTTTGGTAACTTTCGGGATAGAGCACCAAAATTTTATTTTTAATTTCAATTACGCTGATCTTACTTAACGATAAAATTGAAACTAAATAAAACAAAACTGCTTATAAGGGGTTGTAGATCTTGTTTCGCTGTATCATCTGTATGTATATAAAAATGTATATTACGTCGTTTAAGATAAGTACGGTTGTACAAGCCTATCACATTCTGGAATGTGATTTCGTTGATGTCTTTTGTACGTTAAAAGGCCATCGCATTTTTGTGACAAATCATTCATTTTCATGCGACAACTTTAAAAAAAAATAAGCTGTCCTTCCTTTTCAAAGTAATATTTTCAAAGTATTTTTTTTAAGTAATAAGCCGTAATTTTGTTTTTAAATGCTACGTAAAGAACGAACGATACAATTAACAATAAAAAATTTGGAGATATTGTAGCCTACTGGCAGTTTTTTTCGTAAGTATTATAATAATGATGTTCATAATTGTTCAGGTAGCACAGTACATAGGCGAGATGTGCCGGTACTTGCTGGCACAGCCGCCGCGGCCCGAGGAGTCGATTCACAACGTCCGCATCATGGTAGGCAACGGCATGAGGCCCGCTGTCTGGCAGCAGTTCGTTGATAGGTATGAACTTTAGACCATATTACAATTCTGAAAGAGCATTTCCGCTCTGGACTTAGTAAGATCAGCTGCCTGCATATTATACATACTTGTGTTTTAGTAAATAGCCGTTGAATTTTATTTATTTGTTATAACATTTTACCCATTAAACATTTACCAGCAGAGTCTTACTATTTGTTCAAAATATTTTGTAATTTTCTCTAATATTTCCTATGGAAATCGGATTTTCCTATTCATTCCAGCAGTGGTGAAAAATACGTATTAAACAAAAACATAGAGAAAACGTATATAATTACACTAAGGAAGAATGTAGTAAATTATTTTTGTAGCGAAGCGTTACTCTGTTATGTCATTAATTAAATATAATAATCGTCGGCATGAAACACATGATAGTGGGTGCGGGTCGGGTGCATGTCGGGTCGAGAGTACGGCGGGTGTATGCGACCCGACCTGCGGCCATCCCGCGCCCGCGCGAAGTGTGTTGTCGTCCATGTAAATACATGGAATTACACCCACCGAACTCCCGACCCTACAAGCGCCCGACCCGCACCCGTTCTCTGTGTGTGTCACGCTGTAATTAAAGAAAACAGGAAATTTATTATGTCAAAATCAATCAATAAATCTCTTTTACAACGAAACTATTTGAAATCGTTTGAATTTTAAATACAATGTGCGACTTGTCATTAGGTTGTGTGTGAGGTCGTTTCGGTAATGGTGTCGCGGTCGAATTCATGAATAACGATAACTCTTTGTTTAGGTTCAAAGTGATACAGATAAACGAAATATATGGAGCAACCGAAGGCAACGCAAATATCAGTAAGTATTTTTTCTTTCTCTTTCACGCCTATTGTTATTTAACGAAAGTGTACCCTGTATCGAATGTTTACGGCTCCTTAATTTTGTTTGCTGTATCGATAACATTATGGACTGTTGTTGCCACTTATTGTGCTAATGACCCAAGATTACCTAAATGGACAAATTAAGTTATTTGCTGATAAGAAAGTTACTTCCTTATCAGGAAGTAGCTACCTTATCAGCAAATAGCTTTTCTGCATATCGTAAATTAACCCGTCCATGGATAGTAGCGGCGTTTACTGTAAAATTAAATACCTATCAGAATATGATAAACACGAGTTACCCGTTTCGCCATGTGGATCTTAGAAAAACCAACTACGGGCTTTATCGTGTGATTTCCAAGCGCTTGCTTTGTAGTTACCGCCTAGTGCTTCTCCATAAAGAACAACAATGTACTGACAAAAATCAATGTAAATACATTGAATATTTTATATTGAATCAACGGTAAAAAGTAGTGACATTTTTGTGTGTAACTAAAGTACTCTGTCCATGAACGGGTTAACTACACACATCAAAAGTGTCTAGGGATCAAGTGAATATTTTTGAAATAAAAATTATTTAAGCAATATTTACCAAATCCAGTCTTCCAGGACGACTTCTTACTTTAATGCTTATGTTTTATTTAACCGCTTACCCCTATATTTAATTAAAATAAACTAAAATTGATGTTTTTGCAAATTGTGGGAAAAAACTCAAATTAACGGCGTCAATTAAATGACAAAAAAATGGCGAAAATGATGATTTTGCTCATTTTTATTGTAAAGATAAGAAAATTAATAATCTGTATTTCCACCATTAACACGAATCACACAATTACAGCGATTTGGCATGCTTAAGATGAGTTCATCAAAATCGCTTTGAGGAATGGCCGCCCATGTGTTTTGTAACAAGTCAAAATATTGTTGTAGAGTATGTACGGTATGCATACTCGGCACAGCTCTTCTTTGAAGCATATCCCATGCGTGCTCAATTGGATTGAGGTCTGGCGATTGAGCAGGCCACGGCAGAACGTTGATACGAGCTTCGGCAAGAATGCGTGTTACGACTCTAGCCGTGTGTGGACGTGCGTTGTCATGCATTAGTTGAAATGAATCACCCAACTGGCCTCGCAAAGGGATGATAACATCTGAAATAATTCTCTCTGCGTAAACTTGAGCATTGAGGTTACCCCTGATCCAAATGAGATCGGTTCTTCCGCCGATCCAAATACCGGCCCATATCATTATTGATCCCCCACCATATGGATGAACTTCCTGACAATATCTCAAACGTTCATGACGTCCAGATGTTCTCCAAACTCGAGTACGTCTTGTATCCGGTCTCATACCGAAGCGGGATTCATCCGAAAAGCACACATAGCGCCAGTCTTCTTCCTCCCAGTTTCTGTGTTCGCGAGCCCATCGTAAACGGGTCCTGCGATTGCAGGGTGCAATAGGTGGAACTCTGAGCGGCCTTCGGGATCGCAGACCCACTTCACGTAAACGATTTCGGATTGTTTGATCGCTTATTAGCAAGCCTGAGGAGCTGTGGAGCCTCGTAACCAACATCGTGGCGCTCATGGTACGATTCCGTCGAGCAGTATTTTGGATATACCGGTCCTGTCTGCGAGTCGTGATGCGAGATCGTCCTCCATGTCGCTCGGCCACGCTGCCCGTCATGCGATAGCGCGTCCAGAGGCGACTTATGACGCTCTGTGTAGTGTTAAGAGTGAAAGCCACAGCACGTTGCCTGGAACCAGCTTCCAACATTCCGACGGCTCGCATCATCACTTCTCGGGTTGAACGATGTCGTCTCTCCATAATAATGTAAATTGTTTCGGTTCCGATGCAGATATTGTAATGATTTTGTCAAAACGCTATAACTCATTTTTATACAAAACCACATTGACAATCGATTTTCTTCTTATTATCGAATTTTAAACAATATTCCTTATTTAAATGTTAAAACTCACTAAAAAGTATCAATAGCGATACAAAAAAGTTAATATAATTAACCCTAATTGCAGCAATACTCTTAAACGTACTTGATCCCTAGACACTTTTGATGTGTGTATTTTAATGGTAAACGACACGCCTGTCCATAACAGTTGCAAGTGCACTACCTCTGTACCTTGAGACATAAGTTGAAATGGCCCATGTGCCTGTAATTTCACCAGCACCCTTGCCCTTCAAAACCGGAAAGCAGTAATGCTAACTTTACTGCGCGCAGATATAGGTAAGATGGCAGTACTTTACTGGATGAACTCCTTCATAAGGAGCTCTACTGCTATTAAACTCAATTTGTAAGGGGTTACATCCCTTTGCCTATCATGTGTAAAAGAAAATTTAGCACATACTACTGACTCTTGATATTGGCGAGATGATGAAAAATTTGATCAAAGAAGTACGATAGAGTAATTTTTTTTTAATTTATTGAGGTACAAACAGTACCTCAAAAAAAAATACATATTTTAAAATTAACTTATAAATAAACCCATAGTCCCCTAAATATACATTAAATAAAACAAAAAGTAGGTAAACAGACAATCTGATGCACAATACACAACACGGAAGAAAGAAAAGTATGTATGGGTCTATGATAAATAAACTTCAAGTTATGAATAGATATAGCCACAGACATATAGACATAACACATACAACACAAAAAAAAATACAAAATTATGATCAAACAATTTATAATAATATAAAGGGAAGTGATCGTACCTATACGTACATACGTATATGTTACGAGCAATGATATTAAATGGACGTTATTGTAGAAATAATTACGTCGGCTATTAGTATTGTTTATTATGAGCAATGACTAAGAGCATCGACCAAATTGATAAAATCACTTTGGCCTCCAATAAATCTTTCCTCAAAAGAAAAAAGAACGGCGGTGACCAAGGTTAGTGGAAGAAGGGAGCGCTGCCAACAGTTAAAGTCAGTATCAACTCTAAACTGTATTTAAAAGACACAAAAATTCGTAGAAGTACTTAATATTTCAATTCAATCATACATATATTAAATATTTCCAGTTAACGTGGACAACACAGTGGGAGCCGTGGGCTTCTTGCCGAAGCTGGTGCCCACCAGTTTGCACCCCATCGCGCTGGTGAAATCGGATGAGCAGGGCAATCTCGTGCGAGGAGTCGATGGTTACTGCATTCGGTGCTTACCTAGTAAGTTATTAGTTATGTAATAAATATCAGGTGATATATTTTGTTTTAACATTTTGATGGTGTCCCATTATAAAAGTTGTACATATTGATGGATAGAATTATCGCACTGCTTAAATAGAATCAGTCGCTCAGTAAATTGGATCCACACACGAATACGAACAAGATGTCGAAAGGTCTAAAGGTGTGACCATTTTACCATTTTAGGGTCTCCCGTATTATCCATATTTCGCGAATTGTACCTATGTGGTGTCTCGCAAAAAGGGCAAAATCTGTGTTTTTTTTTATTCTTTTCCTTTTTTGTAGTAATATATTGTTCGAATGTTATGAGAAACTAAAGGTACCGTGTAATGTATGTAATATGAGCTTATTATATGTATGTACAAAACCAGGTTTTTGAGACACTGCGATTATATAAATGTAATAAAGGTATTATTAAAATGAAATAAAAAGTAAATATTTCAAGTCGTGAACTAAATAAAAAAATCACTCTCACAATGTCAAACAATTTGAAGTTGACTTTAAAATATAACTTTTTCAGACGAACCGGGCATGTTTATCGGGCTAATCGCCCAAGGCAACGCTTCGAGGGAGTACCATGGATACGTTGACAAGGTAACTTTATTTTTACAATTCCATTTTCTGCTCCTGCGGTCCGTGTTTATATTTCAAAAAGAATTCATTTCATCTCAAATTCAAATTCAAATTCAAAATAATCTTTATTTCATAGGTAAGCATTATTACACTTGAAATCGTCACAATGGTTAAACTCTACCGGTCATTCGTATGGCAGATTCCCCTGAGAAGAATGAGCAAGAAACTCTAGGGGTTGCTCTTTGTAAATAACATTTACAATATTTTTTTTTTATTTGAAACATTAGCGATCGAGACTACCTCCATGAGCTAAACGTGTTACTTACTACCACGGATTTTTGTCATCCAAGTACGCAGAAGTTGTATAATAACCTTGAGTATAAAGTTTTTGTTTCACTATACTTTTAAACCTCGTGAAAGGCAAATTTTGTATATCAACCGGAATCTTGTTATAGAAGCGTATACATTGTCCCTTAAATGATTTTTTGACTTTGTAAAGACGACTATCAAGAAAAGCTAGTTTATTTCTATTCCTCGTATTAATGTTATGTCTGTCACTATATTTCATAAAGAAATTACTATTCCTTTTAACATAAATTATATTTTCATAAATGCACTGTGAGGCTAGTGTAAGAATGTTAATTTCCTTAAACTTATCTCTCAAAGATACTCTGGGGCCCAGATTGTAAATTGCCCTAACTGCACGTTTCTGCAGGACAAAGATTCTATTGATATCGGCGGCATTACCCCAAAGCAAAATGCCGTATGTCATTAGACTGTGAAAGTAGCTGAAGTAAACCAATCTAGCGGTTTCGACGTCTGAAAGTTTCCTAATTTTTTTAATCGCGTACACTGCAGAGCCTAGTTGTTTTGATAACCTACTTATATGGGGACCCCATTGCAATTTAGCATCTAACGTTATACCTAGAAATACAACTGTATCCACAAGATTCAATTTTTCGTTTCTAACTACAATGTTTGTAACCGACTCTCTAAATTTGGGTAATGTAAATTTCACACAATTTGTTTTTTTCTCATTAAGAAGTAGGTTATTAACAGCAAACCAGTCAACTACTTTAGATATAGCATTGTTCACATCGTCGTAGGAACATTGGTGTGCCTTTTAACTTTAAATAATAAGGAAGTATCATCAGCAAACAATACTATCTCATGTTTTATACCCTCCATAAGGCTAAATAAGTCATTAATATAAACTAAAAACAAAAATGGGCCTAGAATTGAACCTTGAGGGACACCCATGCTAATTGCAGACCCTGATGATCTCGTACCGTTAACATCGACTCTCTGTACCCTTCCACGCAAATACGATTTAAGAAGGTCGAGATCACGTCCCGCCACACCATAATGGCGAAGTTTCCTGACCAATGTATCATGGTGCACACAATCAAAAGCTTTGGAAAGGTCACAGAATACACCAATAGCATCGGTTGTAGAGCGACCCCGAGTGAAACCAAATTGTTTAGCGAAACATTAAGTTATTACTATAAAAATGTGCACACATCTGATTTAGAATAATTTTTTCAAATATTTTACTGAGAGTTGGTAGTATTGATATAGGTCTGAAATTGGTGGGGTCAGAAATACTACCAGATTTGAAAAGTGGAATAACTTTACTTTGCTTCATAAAGTCAGGAACAACACATTTATTAAAGACACAGGCTAAGTAAGGCGCAATACTATCAACTATATAACTAATTACTCTGACTGAAAGACCATCAAGATCAGCAGTATTTTTTATGTTTATAGACTTAAAGGCTTTAACAATATCGTTTGGAAATACATGACGGAACCTTAAATTAGTGATACTAACCGCATTATTTTCTTTTAGTAAGGATTCAGCGGTGGTGAAAGATGAATTTAACGACTTAGAAGTCAAAATTGGAATGTCAGTAAAAAAAAATTCAAATATTTTAGCAACTTCTGCGTCGGTGTTTACAATTTTGTCATTAAATCTTAGTTGAAAATCTAAGTTACGAGGTTTGACCCTTCGAGTTTCGCTGTTTATAATATTCCAAGTCGTTTTTACTACATTCGCGCTGCTTTTTATTTTATTATTTATAAACATTGCTTTGGCTGTAACACAAACACGTTTAAACATTTTGGAATATTTCCTAACAAAATCATTAAAACTGTTACTAGTGTTATAAGTCCTTTCATCGTAAAGATCATATAGTCTTTGTCTAATTTTGTGAATTCCCACAGTCGCCCAATCACTAAATTTCAATGAATTTTAATAGTTATGATTTTGGACCTAAAAACGTTATCACGTTCACTTTTGACTATGTTGAAAACTGAATTGTACAATTTATTGGGATCGTTAACGTATGGAAGTTTAGTTAGTTTAAGCATTACATTATTTCTATAAGCTTTAAGTCGACCATTATTTATCGGAACACATGTGATATCCTTTTTTGGCATTTTGTCACAGTTATATTAAAAGTGGCCAATTGACCGCAGTGATCAGAAGTTAATTTATTTATAATAGATTGATTACTAGGTACGGCGTTAGTATAAATGTTGTCTAAACAAGTGCCAGTAGTAGAAGTTATTCTAGTAGGCACCAAGAAAAGATTCACAAGATTATAACATTGGAAAAATGATATCTCAGCCAGCTCAATTTTTACACGACCCAAAAAAAACTGCTAACAAATGGTGTTTACGGCTTTCAGAACGACAGCAACAAGAAATTAGTCCGCGATGTTTTCTGCAAAGGCGACGCAGCCTTCGTGAGCGGCGACATCCTGGTCGCCGACGATTTTGGCTACTTGTACTTCCGCGACCGCACCGGGGACACTTACAAGTGGAAGGGGGAGAACGTTGCTACTGCGGAAGTAGAGGACGCCATGGAGCCGGCTTTGAATCAAAAAAGTTGCATCGTTTATGGTGTTTCGGTAAGTTTGTACAAGTTTGCATCTGCTGAACAATGCCGTGCTGTTCTATTCGGTGGTGTGGGAAAAACAGCAAAACATCTAATTACAAAACAAACGGAATCACATTTCGTCGGTAATTAAATATTAAATATGTAATTTTGCAATTTTCGTCCATTATAGCAAAGCTCAAGTTAACTGGTCGATTTGAAGTGAAACAGTTGACGACACTCGTCAATTGTTTCGAACTCGCGCTAGCCAATCGGAGCGCAGTTGTCACAGTTATGATATGGCAGAATAGTTTTCAAATTAAATGACATTTCGTCTCTATTGTTGCGTACTGGTTATATACTCGATGAGATTACATGATAATGCAATTCCATCGACGTATTTATTGGTAAATCATTTTATATTTAATTTTGAGTAAACAAGAGACATTGCTATTCTCAGTTCCTTAAAACCATCCACTCGTTTCCGATTTTTCCCCACTGACAACTCTTAACATTATACAACATTCTTGGCAAATTCAATTTATAACTTGTGACCATTTGTTGTGACATTTTTATTGTTGTGGTAGTTTAATATATGTATGGTTATGTAATATAAAATGTTTGTACTGACACTATTTCTTGCTACATCTTCTGCTATACCATGTTTTAGGCAAATAAACTTACCTATTATTAAAATTATATCTGGTTTTATGATTATCGATAATGTTATTACAATTATATAAGTAATTTTATTTAGTTAATCACAGTAAAGTATACAAATTACAAACATAACAAAATAAAACTGTTTAGATAGGGCAGTGTGCAGGGCTGTGTAGTTAGGACTCCTTTCCTTTATTTTTTTCCATCCTCTAAGGCTGAAGACGTGGATGACCTGTACAAGTATAAATTTTTTTTATGTTGTCTATGAAATTGAAACTAACCTATAGGAATTCGCTCTGGACCTTTTGGAGGGAAAAGTTTCGTTTTTATTTTGATTTTCAATTATTTTGTGAAATCTAGTTTAAAGTGGAATAGGATAGTGCTATTGTGCCTTAATTGAAGATTAAAACGCGAAATTATACGAATCTCGAACTAGAATACCCGTAACGGCCCGTTTTAAGGAATCCTGAGTCAATCCAAACACGCCGCCTCAAATTGCCTATCCTCTTTGTGGCGGCCATATTTACAGAAACATAATTAAACTTCATGTTTAGGCTAATGGCTTTGCCAAAACCTTAATAAATAATAATAATAATAAATAACTAACCTATAGAGACATATTGTAATTGAATGTCAGAAATATGTCGACAAAACAAAAATCCATTTTTTCGTATCTAAATCGCATCATGATAATTATATATTTGGTTTTTTCGAACACTAGACTCAGACTGTAAAGAACCCGATACAAATAAAGTTTGAAAAGCAAATGCACGCGATTTCAATCCGATACATTGTTTCATTCCAATACCAAAAGAATTGCTTTTGGTATTGGAATGAAACAATGTATCGGAAACCGAAGAACTGTATACGTTTGTGTATAGTTTAGCTTTATTTCAGTTAATAATAATAACACTTATTCACCATGTCGCATCACGCAACATTTAGCATGTCAAGATTTCTGGATTTTTTAAAACACTTCGTAACGTTGCCAATTAAAAATGCCACTATTTGTATCTAAAACAGTTACTTTTTATTTTTGTTTTGTTATTAATTATGGCATTTTGACAATTCACCATCAAAGCGTCTTTTTTTTCCTCTAAAAGATCCCTCAGACCGAAGGGCGAGTGGGTATGGCAGCGATCGCAGATCCGAAGCGCGATGTGGACATGACCAGACTGGCGAAGGAGATCGACAACTCGCTGCCGGCGTACGCGCGGCCGCTCTTCTTACGCATTATGAATGATATTGATATGACAGGTTAGTGTCTAATTGTTTAATAATATCTATAGTAATAATATTTATCCGACCGTCTTCGGTCATGGCGGTCACTTCGACTCCTAGTTTGAGTTGTAATACCTACAGGTTTAGTTGCCCAGTACGGTCACCATTCTTTTCCAAGAAATATGACATTTAAATAGTCTATTACAATATATGAGTGTATTTTCCATGTGTAGAGGAAATAAACCATAAAAAAGTAAATATTCCCATCTCGTCACGTTTAACATCAATTATATGTTTCACTAAGCTTAAAAGCTTATTAAACTAAACAATTTCAAGGGACTCTATCTCTTCTTCTTCTATATAAGCTAACGTAACCTAACTTGGGACCACGCCCACCTTTGAGCCAGGGCCCTTGGGTAGTATAATAATAATAAAAATGGGGCACAGAGGCATTGACAGAGACCCAATAAGATCGTAAAAATAACAATGCGATATTCCGACCATTACTACTTTTAAGCCATTCGCTGCAATTCGAGCGCCTGACGGGTCAACTTATTTTATCGTAAGATTCTGTGAATACCAAAAAGTGTTTGCAATCGTCACTACAGCAAATATATAACAATGTTTGCTCTCCTCTGACTTTAGTGAACTTGCCAAACTGACCATCTTATATGGCGATCTATCTTATATCGAGGCCGACATAAACGCCCGAACGTTTCAGGTCTCTTAAAATATTTTTTTAAATAGATTTAAAATAAAGAATCAGTCAATACTCTACAATTTAAATCGGAAGTCAATATTTTAGATTCGAATGTATACATACACACGTGTGTACAGCCTCAGTTACGAATTTGTAAATAGCTCAGTTTTCCAATAATCTTGAACCTTTTTCATGTTACATTTATGGTTCGTATTTTTACCTTATAGGTACCTTCAAACTAAAGAAGCTGCAGTATCAGAAGGAGGGTTTCGACCCTGACGTGATCAAGGACCCGTTGTACTTCAGACAGGGCAAGGAGTTCGTGCCCATCACAGCACAGCTCTTCACAGACATCTGCAACGGCCGCGTCAAGCTATAAGCGCCCTCTGCTGGTTCATAGGCGGAAACACTTGTAAATACCTATAAATGAGTATTCGTTTAGCGACAAATATTGTACATTTTAAAATATACACCGTTACTGTTTTGTTGTAAAAACACATTTTTTTACATATATATTACGCAGCTGTTGTGCTAATACAGATAATCGAGTTCTTCGCATCTGCTTACACGACAGGGGTGCAATTAGATTTTTTAAGTTTAATAATTTAGACTGTACTCGTAATTAAATAAGGACCTGATTTGTCAAAAACCGCTATTTCGAAAATATTTAGTCACAACACCGTAGGCAACGATTTTTGTCAGGAGAATTTAAAATATAATGGTATGGTATTTAAATCCAAACACTTCGAGATTTTACACCTGAATTTTTTTCCAAGCGTGTTGATTTTAAAGTCCGGGGTTTTCAACTTCCGGGTTGAATTATGATTGTTAATTTTGTTATCGAGGATCACAACTTTGCAAGTTATGCGTGTTTTGAAAAATTGTCGCTTGCTGAATACAAATTTTTACGGTATCATCAAGTTTCTTAAGCCTATATCGGTGTAGCAAAATCCGCATGAAATTGTCGGTGAAAACTTAGGCGCAATCGACTACATAAAAAAATCTAACTTTCCGGGAAATCTGAAAAAGTCGGTTGCGAAATAATAAGAAATAGTAAAAGCTCAATAAAATTACCGTAATTACAGGTTATTTCAAAAAAGGTAAAAAAAATCTTTATCTTTTTGAAACACGCTGTTTAGGTAACATTAAAAAAGATACATTTGGACTCATTGCTGTACCTACAAGTGGTCTAAAAATAATTATATTATGGGGTTAGGGTACTGTAACAATTGGTGGGCTCTTAAGGAATAAGTACTGTCACACGGGATGAATACAAACGCGGGGTTAATACAAGTAAACTGATTACATAGTATAGTAACTCCATGCAATCGAACCAGCGCGTCCGTGTACGGACGCACACATTCGCTGCTACGTTTGTATAGAATTACCATACTTGTATTATACTAAGCTGATTATGTCAAATTTTCGCATTTATAAAACGCTGGCTGCGTTCGCGGCTACATAACATTATAATATAGTTTATGTAGCATGTTCTCTCTGGCACATAAAGATTTTTCATTAATTAATTTAGTTTATTTCTACCGGAGTTTCTGTTCACCTCGTTATACAGTAGTATAATATATATGTCACAGGGAAGCTCAAAACGATGTTATTTAAATACACTAAAAACGCCGAGGTCTAAGGGAAGATCTAGAATCCGTAGTAACATAAAGTAGGTGCCCTCAGCCACACATCAAGGTTAAACAAACTGTCATTTTATTTGTTCAAATTTGTACTGTATTGTGTCTGAATATAAGGTACAATTCTTCAAAGAATTTTGACAGCTTTTATAGCTTTAGCTATGGCTCACCGTACTAAATTAATGTGTAATGATGCGATCTATATTTATTGACTTTGTTTTAAAACTTTCAACAAATCTTTGGAAGTTTTAAAACCGAGTGAAACACATGAATAAAGTCAATATCGCACTATATGAAACAATTATTAGGGTTTATATTAAATTAACTTTTCAATTATAATTGAAAATTATTGACATAGTCTCGTTTGAATTTATCGTTTCAGAATTAATCCTTCTGTAAAACTTTTTCTATAGCACTATTTAATTCAAATTTATAATTAAGTACCGAAAAATTAAGCTCATATATAAGGATAAATTCGTACTGGAAGCATAGTGGAGTCCTCATTTCCTCTCTTTATCTCGATAAAGTTAAAACACGTAAAATTTTGCACTGCAATTGAGCACCGCGCTTCCAGTGTCAATGGGCCCTTAAAAATTGAATAAACGTCTCCAATTATTAAAAATATAAGACTAATGTTAAGTTTGTCCTAACAATAACCGAGAGGGACTTAAGATACACTTAGCAAGACTTTGACATTTTAACGATAAGCAATATTAACAAGATACAAATGTAGATTGTCAGCGAACGCCAAGCAGGTAGATAGTTATAGAATCAAATATACCTACTGTAAGTAGACGTACAGGGTGCCCTAGATTGTGATATTAAATCTAGGATCTAGACAATTTGTTATAATAGCGCAATACAGTCGATTACGGTTAAGTCACGTACTTGGAAATCACCAAAGCAAAATTCTATAAAAGCGAATTCTTGTATTTATTTAGTCTTTTTGGAATTTTAGCAAATTGTGGTACCTAACGTAACCTAACCAACATTGACTTGACGCTTGTATGTGAATATTAAATTCTCGTATAGGTAGGAAAAATGATAAGGTACTAAAGTACCGTATCTAGGGCACCCTATATACTGTAGATAACATTCCACCATCTAGTCTTGTAAGAAGTTTGTTCTCTATAAATGCACTTTTGTTGAGTTCCTATTTGTTTGTTTATTGTTAATTGGATTAAGCACGGGGACTATGGAGTAAAATTATTATGGTAATAAATAAAACTGTTCAGGCTTATTTAAATTGACGATCACTGTTTAGAGTGCAATTTCCATTTAGATTTTGGTGCCTTGTGATGAATCGCACTGTAGTTTAGAAACGCCGTTAGGAAATATGCTCCCAAACAAAATTACTTGAATGTAAGGTGTAAATAAAAGCGAACAAAATATTTATGCGTTTCAATTTCAATGACCGTTTACCTCAATAGGTATACCTTGCAGCTGAACGGAAGCGAAATCCACCTCTGCGGGAACGCTCGAACATTTCCGCGAGTGCTCGAGCAGAATTACCGTGAATGAAACGTCTTGAGCCATTACTAGGTGTTCAGAGTTCAGTCTAGATCATTTACACGGCAAGGGTGATCCGATTTCGATATCGTTTTTAAAACTCGCTTTCGTTCCCTTCCCTCGCAATACAAATTGAGCCTAAGGTAAGCATATATGACCGTTATATAATATCTAAACCATTTGATCTAGCAAAACAGTTTCTCCTGCTTCTCCTAACAACAACACAACAGTAACAAGTATACAATGAAACACTATAAATATTCAAATTTATAATCTACAGAATATCAACACATCTGTGATAATTGCAAATCAAAAAATATAATACAAATTAACAAAAATAATTTTAACATCTTTTTAATGTAACTGAAAATAAAATTTGTTGTCACACACTACAGCAGAGTTTGCAAAAATTAGGTATACCGCTTAATTTTGGACAGCCTCAATTGATTGTTACCCCATATGGGGTTTTCTTGCTTGACACTAAGACATAGAAATAACACACATTGTCTAGGGGTCGTCATGTCAAAATATTGAAATATTATTTGTACCTGGAACACATCTTTTGTGGCTTTGGTATTAGACAACTTTGTACAACTCATGATACACGATATTTTCTCACACATACGAGGTTGATTGCAGTCGTGCTTAATGCGAACCGTGCGCCAACTTAGCAGCACAAGAGTAAGTTTCATTGATATGAAACGTTCATTGTGTTTTTCTTGCGGATGTAAATCGAGATTTTTGCTGTAATTAAGTACGTAATAGTGTCACACTACTGAAACTGTGAAAAATATTTTTTCTAGAAATAAAATACATTGTACATACTTAAATAACTTTACAAGTATTTTCTTTTACACACTACAGCAACCATAAGCTAGACTAGACTCGATACACGACAGATCTTTGTATAAACTTTTATCTATAAGATTACAAATTATTGTTAAATGACCATTCCCGCGGCACTCAAAAGTAAAGTAAAAGCTACTTCTATTTTAAGCATTCCGTGTAGTGGATTTTAAATAACTACAACGTGAACTTGAAAATCAAAGGTACTGTAAGACCGGGGTCATCATTTAATGTTAAAAAGCCTTAAAAGTAGTAAGTAGTACACATGATACGGTTTTTTTAATATTTTGTTTTATTTTTTAGTAGCAATAAGAGTCCTTGAGAAACATTTCGACCAGGGAAGTACTGCCATCTTACTTATTTTAGTCGGCAAGTATGTGTATAATGCATTCCGATTTTGAAAGGCCTTACCGTGCTGGTGAAATTACAGGCACATGTGAACTTATGTCTCAGGGTAACAGGCGCAGTGGTAGTGTCCCTCAGATCTTTGCGATTTAAAGTTCTGGGTGGCATTGCAACTTTTATGGACAAGCGTGTCGCTTAAAACCAGGCGCACGACTTGTTCGTCCGTGACTTCGAAAACGCGTCACGTTTGGCACTTAAGATTTAAATTCAATGAGGCTTACGATAAGAACCGTTCAAACTGATACTCAATACTCATTAGACTTTTAGATACGCTCTTGACTGCACAACGGGAATGGTGGAACAACGCTATTATATTATTTTATTGAATATCATGGACGTTTTTATTACCGTGATATTCATATATTTTTAGTGAAAATACTCCACTATTTTATTATTATTATTATTGATACAGATTGAGCAACCAGCGTCTGTTGAACAATGAGGCCACCGCTCTTACTAACTCACTAGAGACCGAGTTTGTTTTCAGTTGATAAGAGCTGTGGCCCCGTTGTGGCAACAGACGTTGGTTCGAGTGTAATTAGATCGAAGGATTTTTTCTTTAGGTTGTACGATCTTTGTATCAATAATAATAATAATAATGCTATTACAAATTATGCCCTCAATTGATAACTTTAATGCAATCTATAGGATGTGTATTTTATAATTAAAGGGAGTTATTACAAACATGTGGAATTTATGGGGTCCGCATCGTCAAAATGGGTGTACCAAAAAGGCAGTGTCGTTTTATTCTTAGTTATATTGAAGTATTTACAGTCGATTTCTATTTTGTCTACTTGTTGATGTAACACCCGTTACGTAGATACGGTCAAATTTGTAAACCCAGTGACGTATTACAATGCTCTGTGTTTGCTTATCACTAGTGGTCGGATAATCGGAAGCTTATTTATCTACAATTCGGTGGCTCGCTAACATAAATGGGCTATTGTATCGAAAACCCGCTACATTGGGATTGACTAATTTATTAAATATAAAATTGAAGAAAAATAAACGTTTAAAATGGTATTTCGTCGTCTTACTTTCTCAAACTCGTATCTTAAAGCACAAAGTTACTCAAATGCAAAAAATGGATTGTATATACAAATGTTGGAGACTGATTTCGTATCACATTCTACATTTCATATCACTTTTTTATTATTCTAAATTCGAATAATAAAAAAGTGATAAAAGTTAATTCAAATATTACATACAATCGCAAATCGATGCCTTACTTTCTCAAACTCGTTTCTTGTAAAGAGTGATTATCAGGCGATGACAATATATTTTTGCCGAAACCATCGTACAATCGTTTAGGTTCAAATTAGACGCCTAAAAAAGCGCTAAAGTGGCGCCACTGCTAATTTTTACACAATATTAATGAACAGTAACAGCGCCACTGTCGTGACACGCGCGTCGCTTTCAGTCACAATTAGTAAACTAAAAATTATTGAACCGCTACAGACGCGCAGCTGTCGCGCCACTGCACTGCACTTAATTTGACACTTATAACTGTTCACAGTACTGGGATCCAGTTGTCATATTCCCCCTTAAAATGTACAATGTGCCAATATCTTATGTAGTTAAAATACAAGCATAAAAGCATCCGAATATCCAACTGTTTCGTCGACTTGGTTTTTTTAATTAGAAAAACGTAAACAATAGAGGCAGTGCTAGTAAACTTTTTTTAGGCAGCAAATTACAGCAAAGGAAAACATCGGGAGAATTGATGACAAATGACACGATAATATGTTATAATTTTATAAAAACAGATGCGTTTAGTGTTTGGGAACGTACAAGTCTTTTATAGTATAAGCTGTTCATTTAATATTTAGTAAATTTTATATTTAAAAAAATTACATAAACGTACTTTACTTTTTTTGCTACCATTTGAGAATTTTGTTTTACAGCATTTACGTAATTGCTTTTCTTACAAAATAACCGAATGAATTGCACTTGATAAAAGACTCAAAATGACTTTCTGTCTAATGCTAAAAAACAAGTATACATATCACTGCAAAATAAATATGTATTTTGTAAGAAAAATAAGTCAAGTCACCTGAACCTGTAATGGGTGTTACATTCTTAAATGACCCTATTATTAATATACAGTGCCATTACTTTACTAGGCTCTATTTGCAGTGAATTGTCAGTAGATGGGTAATTTCCAGGTTAGTAATTAATTTTGGTGGCAATTTTTATTATTTAAATATTGTAGAATATTGTCATAAAATACTTTTTAATATTCGAGTGTAGTAAACATGAAATATTATTTAATATTTCACGATAATATATGCGAATACTTAAACAACAACAAAATTGCCACCGAAATTATATTTAATAGCAGCAGAGCTCCTTGTGAAAGAGTTCGTCCGGGCAAGTACTGCCACCTTACCTATTTCTACCTCCAAGCAGAAATGTCACCATTACTTTGTTTCGGATTTGAAGGGTAAAGGTGCTGGTGAAATTACAGGCATATGGGACTTGTCAACTTATGTCTCAGTAGCAGTGCCCCTCAAATCTTTGCGATTTAAAGCTCTGAGTGGCACTGCAACTGTTATGGGCAGGCGTGTCGCTTACCACCAGGCGTACGATTTGGTCGTCCAGTCACTCAGTATCATACAAAAAATAATAGAGAAAACTAACCTGAAAGTTACCAGATATGAAAAAAGAGGAAAGATTATCAGAATTCTCAGCATCCTTAGATACGATTGTCGAACAGTTTTGCTTTCGGCACAAGCAACGACGTACGCGGCGTCTAGTACAAAATATATTGCGCCATCGCGCACAGAACTTCCTTACCAGAAATTAAGCATTTATAAACTGTACCATGTACACAATAATATTTGTAAATGACCCAGGAATGATTAAGCTACGCGGACTACTATGCTTAATTTAAGTGAAAAACGTATGAAACAATGACTAGCGACTATTAAGGCAACGTTCTTTACCGTCCGCTTCATCCCAATACACCTAAATACAATATTGTTCTTCAAAAATATGTACTAATAAAAATAAAAGTACAATACTTATTGCACGTTAATACTAACATTACTTTATAGTAAGTAAATAATAATTATATCAAATCTAAGTCTATAAAGTTTTAGCGTCGAACGTTAGGATACTTAAGAAATGTACAAAAAATCACATTTTAAAATTCTATAGAACAACAGTCGTTCTCTAAAAACTTATTCATAAACAATAAAAACGATGCATTTTTAACATAATGATAGTTACTTAATATAATGTTACAGTTACAATTAACTGTAATTTAACACGATAAATTAATAATGATAATTTTTGCAAAACGAAAATAAATTTGACAATGGTCAAATCAAACAAATATAAGTTAAAATGTGCACGATAACTCCAATATTTAAATAGGTTTTTATAGTCATTTTATGAATGTCTACCATTTCGGAATAAAATCATTTGTTTACCAAATACTGAAGCTGAATACATCTGAATTCAAAGTTTCCGGTATTAGGATAACTAAAATTCTCACTGATACCAGCTTTAAGATCAAGTATTATTAAGTGAAGGGAACCACGAAGAGAGACCGGTACGTGGAGGGAGAGCGGAGCGAAGTAGAGCCTCCTCGTGTGCAGTGAGTCTTAGCAGAACAGAGAGTGCGCGGGTCAACTGGCGAGCTTCTAGTTCCCTGGCTGTTAGGAACCGGAGAACTACGTGTTTTAAGTATCTGAAAATAATAATTGACATGACATTTCCTCGATTTGGAAGTGCCTCTAAAATGTCTAATGTCAAAAAATGTTATTGTCAATATCAATAGGGATGCTTGTCAATACTAGGACTTTCAGTCTGCATTTCCGCGTTCCGGGAAAAAAATCGAGACTCGGCGCGGTTCAAACATACCGGAAAACCGAGACTTTCGAAACTGTTTCAAAAGTAAGTTTCTATACATATGGGCGTTTAGGCAATCAAATCATGACATTTTAATCAAGTTCGCTCAAACTATAATTTTTTTTAATCGTTGGGGTGAAAAAAACTTTAAATTCAGATATAGAGGGCCTGATTTTATTACCACCGTTTTTCTCCACAGAGCTCTACTCTACAGTGTTGTCATGGTCATGTCCATGTAACCAAAATAAACAATGGTTGTAGGTTATAGTACATACTGTTTCATTAACTTACTTACGTCTCAAAAGTCTCTTTTATCCGATACTAAAAACATCAATCCCGAGTCTCGAAAATACCGAAAAATCATCGAGTCACTCGACATTTACGAGAGCAAGATTCCCGGAAATAAAGCCCTAGTCCAATACTAACAATATTTAAAAAGGTACCTTCTGCTAATATCTTGCTCTTCTGCCGAGGAGAGATCAGACTTGGTGCTCTGCAATTCTCGCTGGAGAGTTTTCTTCATATCAGATATCCGATTGTCTAGAGTTTTTATTTTCTGAAAACAGAACATTAAACCCTCAAAAAAATTTAACCTAATATGCCTATCTCTAAATGGTATGAGATTACGGATGTACACTAACAACATTACTGACCATAGAACAATAAATACAGTAGAAGTACTTAGTGGCCGTAACACGTGTGCCAACAGTACGCGAAGTGCCGCATATTTGAGCTCAGTCCGCCATTTTTGCTTTGTACGTTATGGTCATGTCAATTATCTCGCACAAAACCTTAAAAATCGTGAAAACTGCCGTATTTTATTATGTCCAAAGTAGTTTGGAGTATAAAAATGATGAGTCGCACCTGTATTATCCATGGTGTTGCTTCATATAATCGTTGAGCCTTAATTTATTTAATTTTAATAAATTTTCTATTTTCTGTTCATCGTAAAATAGATTCTTTGTTATAAGAAACGAAAGTAAACCTTACACCTTTGCAATATGGTCGACTTTTTTTTGGATAACGTTAATAAGTGTTATAGACGTCTCACAGACGACTTGTCAATTATAGCGTATTCTTCTTGTTTAGAGATCTTTTTCGAGTCGTAGTGGTGCTGTGTATTAAGGACGGGTTCCCTTTATGTCGTAAGTTTTATTTTGTAGTTAGACGTTTATTTTATCGTTGAACGACTGTCGTGTGTAGCTGTTCCCACTAGATAGTGACGACATTTTATCGGTTCACGGCAGCCGCCTTGTCGTTTGCACGACAGAATCGTTTGTAACTGCGATTACCTGTCGTCACATTTTTATCGTGATGTTTCATTTATAGTCGGACGACTATCGTTCTAGCTGTTCCCATTTGACAACGACAGTTAATCGTGTTGAACTATGTTTTAATAACTTCATTTAAATATACAACATACGACACTTTTAACTGCACGACTATTTGTCGTCGCGATATAACGAAAACGCGCCCTAAGACTATTGTAGTTTGGTGGTGGAGGGTATAAAAAAATTACCTTATTTTTATCACAGATTTCAGTTTCTAAGTCTTGTATAGTCTTTTTGAGTGTGCTTTCGCTCTCTGCCATCTCATGTATTCGAGTTTTGAGTTGTTCGATTTCAGTCTTTCGGGCCACTTCGTTTTCCTTTATTAGCATGCATTCCGCCTGGATCTGCCATAAACAATGTTAATAATGTTTAATTAATGATACGTATTTACTTACGTTAGGATAAAAATAATCTACGTAGTCTTTATGCAGTCGTCGTAGCTTAATGGTTTGACTTACCGCCCTTTGAAGCAGAGGCGGTGGGTTCGTGTCCGGGCTCTCCTCTGATGTATTCGGAATTTATGTGCGAAATTTAATTTGAAAACCATAAGCTTTTCGGTGAAGGAAACCATTATAATGAAACCTGCACGTCGAAGAAGGTTCACAAACCTCGGAAAACGTGTGAAGTCCCCAACCCGCACCGGGCCAGCGTCGCGAACTATGGCCTACACCTCGCCTGACAGAGGCCCATGCCCAGTGGGACGTATAAATGGTTTGAATTGAGTCTTTATAAAGTTGTATTCCAAAAAAATGGAATACTACTTTTCTACTACAACGGTCCTGATGAAAATTTTACTATTGCTTTTCAAAATGATGAGGAAAATTTATCCTTAATCCTTTACACCTTGCATAACTAAACCAGTCGGTCAGTCTTCAACGAACGTTTGTAAAAACAATCGGTTTTGTGTTACATTTACATTAAGTCGGATTTTTGGACTATGTACCATTTTTATTTTTACCTGATGATAATTAAATAAATTAAATGCATGCATGAATAAAATTTCCTTAAAATGCCGCGATAAGGTAATTACTTGCAGATTGATATTAATTGTTTTCATGTATTGAAGTAAAATAAAGCTTTTATACATGTCTCTTTATTTACTTGTTAATTTACTATATTACTTAGAAGACGATTTATCTAGTTCCTTAAGGAAGTTGAAGTTGAAGATTATTAGGTACTCGAAATAAACCTATTTTTCGGACATAAATCGCGTATACTTATTTTTCCAAACACACCAACGTTACTTGGTCGTGGTCAGCCGTGACAATGGGATCTGTAAAGGGCCCGAAACGTTGGTAGGTTCCGTTCCGTTTCTGTGATCCCAAAGTAAGTAACTGAAACACTTGTGTTATGAAAATCCGAAACAACGATGGTATCACAAACATCCTGACCTGAGACAACATAGAAAAGTTAGTTTCTACATTGACCCGGCCGGGGATCGAACCCGAGACTTCAGAGATGACCACACAAAGAAAGCCGGTATGCAAGCCACTAGACCACGGAGGTTAAAAGGTATGAAATTAAAAGGTCACTGCCGCAGCTTGTACAAACGTGAGTTACCTCTTTATGTTGCGCGACGATTCCTTCCAATTCAGTAATCTTGGCCTTAAGGTCCGTAATCTCGGTCTCCTGGTATCGCACATTGCATTGGCTCATCTCGATGCTTTGTGACATGTGTGCGTTGCGGAGCAGTGCTTCGTCCTTTTCGCGTTTTTCCCTGAAATATTTCAATAGTATAAAGAAAAATACATGTAAACACACTTAGTTTTTACAATGAAGCCTAGTTTGACTTCTCTTGGCCCTTATGTGACCATTATTTTTTTTCCCTCAGAGCGGGACGCCTGTAAGTTTATTATTGTTTTAAAAATAATATGCTTTAATGATATAATATTCATGATAGTTACGAAACTTTGACGATTCAAAAAAATTAAAAAGGCCTAAAAATGTTTAATTATTAAGAGTTCAAAAAATAACTAATCTTGTGCAGTCTGGTGAACTGGCTTTATTTTTCACTTTCGCGCCATTTTTTAAATATATTGTCACAGGTGTCCTGTTTTGTCAGAGCGGAACATTTTTAAGTATTTTAGGAACAGCAGGACACGAAGCTTAAAAGCGGGACATATCGTCACGTTACTCTTGAGTTGACTTGAAATAATTATAACTTTAATTGTGACTTTTAATTCTTGAATTTTAAACTAAATGGCACAATTATAGTCAGTTATGCCCAGAGATGGGCAAGCGCCCGGGTTTTGCACGGTACTTTGTAACGCCGGGTTTAAATCGGAATAAAACCCATTAACAACTATTTAGAAGTCAATATTTGTTGTAAGTAAATAAATTTTGTTCAAATTTAATGATATTGTAACAAAATGTTTATTGCTTCTGATCTAGACGATTCGATTTGCCTTTGTATTGAATCAAGTCGCTTGAAAATCGCATTGAAATAAATCGATTCAAAAAATCATTAGATTCTATGCACTTGAATCGATTTTCATTAAAATCGAATCGTAATGTGCATCCTTAGCAGTGAGAATCCACAGGATTGCAAGGTGAACATTGTGTGGAGTTGCCTCGTTTTCGAAAAAAAAAAACATTTTTTACATAATAACTATATACCAAACTTCCGCTCACGATTTTGGGCAGAAAGGATTAAAAACGGGGCTTTGGGTAAAAACTCGATTAAAAGCCGGGCGGGTTGATAGAGTTTTACCCACTGCACATCTCTGGTTGTGCCTTTAATTGTGCTATTCAGTTAATAATAAGAGCACAGTTCCGTACATTACTAAGTAAAATCCTTTGTTTCCAACTCAATAAACGTCAAATAAGACTTTTTTATTTTTTTACAAAATCTGATTGTTGATGTCAGTTGTGCCTTCTGAGTGTTTTCTATATCAAACAACTATTGAACAATTATTGAATTAGAGTCTACAAAAATGAGGTATCTAGAATGGCCTGTTTTTGATCATCCCGAATACAGCATCATTCAGCCATACGACGCCCATGGCTGGGGGTCTACCCACTGAGCGTCGTCCGGTGCGCGGTCGCCAATAAAGAGCCTTTCTGCCCCAACGGCCATCGGTTCTCCTAGCTATGTGCCCCGCCCACTGCCACTTCAGCTGAGCAATTCTTCGAGCTATGTTGGTTACCTTAGTTCTCCTACGGATTCCTTCATTTCTGATTCTATCCATATATCGCTCTCTCCATTGCTCGCTGAGTGACCCTGAGCCTTCTTATGAGGCCCATAGTGAGGGACCACGTCTCTGATCCATATGTGATCACTGGCAACACACACTAGTCATAGACTTTCGTCTTGAGTCTTGAATACGTATCAATTTGACAAAAAAAGTTAGTTCTACGTACGGTTTATAAAACACGTTTTGTATTGACGCTCTGGTGAACTGTACCGACAAGTGAGATCCAACCATTATAAATAAATTTGCTTGACACTCTTGCCACTACCAATGGCTTAAGAAACCCTCTATATAGCGCCTACAACAGAATAACGAAAATAATTCCGTAAGTGCTATCCATATTCACAGATCATTTCATAACTTGGTTACGCCTAAAATTGACCCTGACAATGTTTTAGTTGTTAAGAGTTGAAATATTTCATGACAAAACTTGGTTATGTATATATTCTTATTACATTTCGCCAACAATATTTAACCAATGTAGAAAAATGATAACACAAATATAAGGAGCGAACTTAAATGGAAGCATGAGAAAAGGTCGATCTCGGCGTTCATATTCGACAACATCAAGGATGTCCTTAAAAATTCTAGGTCGAAAATAACAACAAAAAATAGTCGTATAAAGCGAAGTTACGTCATTAGCGTACCTACGCGTAAATAATAAACTTGCATGTACCTGGTACAATAAAGATAAAAGTATTTATTTAATAGTTTGCCGTAAATATCCTTAACAAAAAATATAAGGCGTAACACCTATAAAAATTACGTTGTATCATAAGTAGGTAGAAAAAATATTGAAGTAAAGGCCGGAACACTGATACGTGATTATATCGGACAGATTAAACTCTTCAACACAGAGGTGGTATCGTATTTCAATAATGACTAAAGTAAAAAAGGCAAAAAAAAAAAATACAAAGTAAAATAAAGTACGAAACAAATCGAGTTCTTAGAATTTCGCGATTGTTACACATAGGAAATGAAACTATTTTTCCGGATTTAAATCCGGAAAAATTATATTTGTTTTTTCAAACCAACATTTCGGGCCCTTTACAGGTTCCATGGTCACGGTTGACTGGACATGGGACCTGTAAAGGACCCGAAGCGTTGGTTTGTTTGAAAAAACAATTATACGCTTTGTGCGAATCTTGGGTATACTTACAACATAGAGGTAACCCTAGCCTACGTCTAGACCCCCTATGACATAAAGTTAGACCATCTTATTATTATAAACTATTATTATTCATTGCACGTAGAAATCAACACACGATGACGTATTTCTAGTGTATTAGATATACTAAATAATCCGACCATTCATACTGAATAAATATCCACCTACCGAAGGATTTAACAAAAATCAACTCTACTGACATTGAAAATAAGGCACATTTAAATAATCTTAAGATTGCACCTGAATATATTTAAAATGTTCACCTTGAATTTATTGACTTTTGATGGTCCTATTGAAAAACGGCCTATCTCAAAACACCTGTCACATAAAAAAGTAGGCATAATATGTGACACGTAAAGCCGACGAATTGCGATTATTGTAACCAACGGAAAGCTCAGCGACTTATACCCACTAAAATTCAAAACATTCTGAATATCCTCTACCTATACGTAGCTGTCATAATTCAAAAATGAACTAATTCGGTTTGGGGCTTAGAGGATGGAACAATTAAAGGAAGTTTGGGGCGACTATTCATGAAAATCAACGATTTGTCAAAGATGTTTGTATGAGTAAATGGGTCACTTTAAAGTTAGTGTTCTCTAACCTCATTTCGGTGGCAATTTTTATTGTTTAAGTATTTGCGTATAATATATACGCATTAATAATAATATACACGTAAACGTAGACAATATCGTGAAATACACAGACCACGTGGTGAAATATTTAACCACATTTCAAGAATTAACATTCGAATACTTCAGACAATCTTCTAGAATACTTCAATAATTTATTATTTAAATTGCCAATTTTTAAATTTTTAATTTTTAAATTGCCAACGAAATTTGATAGAGAAACTAGCCTGAAGATTTTCTCAGCAAAGATGTTCTCATGCTACTCGTAACTATACACGACGACCAACGCCGACCTAATCGTGATAAAACTTTATTGCAGTTTCATAACAAATTATTTTTAATGCAAGGTCATTCACATGCGTGTCCATGTCCTAGTTAAATCGAATAAAAATGTTGTGTCACGCCCTTTTGTGTGTATGACTGCTGGCAGTACACCCGTATTCTGTTTTTATTTAATACTTTTTGTGTAAAATATCAAGTGGTAATTCTCATTGTACAAATTATTTATGGTCACTCTACAACCAGAGTCAAGACAAATAAATTTTGGCATTATATACAAGCCTACTGAGGCAACTTTTAACTAAGACGAATACTTAAACAAAAGCTGCGATAGCGTAATGGTTTGACGGACCGCCTCTCAAGCAGACGCTGTGGGTTTGAATCCGGGCTCGCACCTCTTGAGTTTCTCGGAATTTATGTGCGAAATTTAATTTGAAATTTACTATGAGCTTTTCGGTGAAACAAAACATCGTGATGAAATTTGCACGTCGAAGAAGGTTCACAACCCTCGGAAAACGTGTGAGATCCCCAACCCGCATTGGCCTAGCGTGGCAGACTATGGCCTAAACCCTCGCCTCAAAGGAGACCCGTGCCCAGCAGTGGGACGTATAAATAAAGTTGATGGTGATGATTCAACAAAAAGGTATGAAGCCCAGCGCTGATTTGTAGGTTTTAAATTTAACTATTAAAATTACTAAAATTATCCTGTATATTTAAATTATTTTTCCTCGTTTCTTCCACTTTTCCATCACTAATAAAATATATTATTTTACATAGCTGGTAGTTGGGCTCCACTATCCTTCAGGCATCGACTAAACATATAACCAGAAATAGAGACAAAATAAAAGCCATCCATACCTGGCAACTCATCACGCAAATTGGCCTTATATCATTTTTAAATATCAACTCTCGTTTGCACTGAAATCATAAATTAGAAAACTGAAATAGTACTGCGCCAACAAATGACCTGTGTGTACGTCTCCGTATATTCCAAAAATAATCTATATTTATCATTGACCTACCTATTTATTGTAATAAAGATAATATCTACCAATGGGGGCTGTTTCATTTGGTGGTGTGGGAAAAACAGCAAATCATCCAATTACAAAACAAACGGAATCACATTTCATCGGTAATTAATATTAAATATGTAATTTTGCAATTTCCGTCCATTATAGCAAAGCTCAACTTAAACTCGACTTGGCCAATCGGAGCGCAGTTGTCACCGTAATGATCTGGCAGAATAGATTTCAAACAAATTGAATAACATTTCGTCTCTATTTCTGGCTTTATACTCGATGGCTTTAAGTTACTGTTATTTTCTATCTGCGATGCTGTCAAATTGCAGCGTGTGTCTAAAACTTACTTGTCATATTTCCTTTGTACATCAATGAAGTCATGCTGCATATCTGTCACCACTGAGTTTAAATGGTTCATCTCTGCTTGCTGCTCGTCGTACAGCCTGTTCGACTTATCCACCTTCTCTTTGAGGATCTTGACCAGCGTTCTCTCATTCTCGAGAGCTTCTGACAATTCCTTGTTTTCTTGTGTTAATTCTTCTATTTTGGTCTGAAGATCCATTGCTTTTTCCTGCAACGTTATTCGATTTAATTTTTTGCATTAAAAAATAGACTGTACTATACTTGTATAGTACAGTCTATTTTTATACTTGTATAGTTTATAAGTGAACTTATCAATACAAATTGCAAAAAATAAACGAATCTAATACAATAGAATCAGATAGACATAATATACATATTATATGTATATATTATATATATATAACATATAGCCAAATTATTTGCTAAGTTCTTAGGTTTTCGCGATTGCAATGAAACTATTTTTTCGGATCTAAATCCCATATATTTGCTTTTTGTTTATTAACGTTTGGTTTCGAAAAAATTATTTAAATACGAAAAAATTACTGCAGCTTAGGAATATTTTTGTGTCATTCATGTTAATTAATTATTATTTTCTATTCATAAAAATAATATTTTTAATTTTACGTGTATACATAATGTACATTATATATTTTGAAATGTTCTATACAAGACCTATTGAAAAACATAAAATGCGTGAAGAACTTTTAGTGGGCTACAATGTCTAATTCCAACATTTTGTTATTAAAACAAGTACTGTTAGTAAGCGTACGAAGCGAATATAATCAATAATGTAAACCATTGACAGCAATTGTTCAATATTCGGTGACTAAGAGAAAGGTTTAGAAACAATGTCGTTACGTGAAACTAATAACGATAAATCATAAACGCTAAAAAAAATTTTTTTTGGTCATACCGTTTTGCATTTTGTGTAAAAAGTTAAATTTTGTTTCGAGAACATTCGAAATTGGTACTAAGATAGAATTTTGATCTAATACAATTCTAATTTCAGCTAATTATTTTTATGGAAATAGCTGAGACACGAGGAAAAATAGACTTAAGGATAATTATTGTTTTAATTAAAATTATTCAAAACAGTCCTCATTATTGTAAGAAAACAAGTCACTCACGTCTGAGTATGAATTACATTTTATGTAAAATTCATTAAAATGTAATGTAAAAAAGTGTTAAGTATAAAATTAATACCTTGCCGTACAAACGATAAAACCTCCAAACTTGTTATCGCATTTTCTACTAACTCTACTTTCCGCAAAACCGTTGCAACCTGTACAAAGTTGTTTACACAACACAACCGCTTTTACAACACCAGAATTGAACGAACATAAGCAAACTAACACACAACATAAACAATCTTTTGATATAGAACGCAAAAACAGAATATGAAACCGAACAATCACCCAAACTATCGTGCGTTTTAGCGTGACCAAAACCGAACTAGCCAGTGTCAACCGAGAAGTCGGACTGGTTTAATACATAATAACCTGTGTTCTGAGCGAGTTAGGAAAATTACAGTTGCGTCACTATAGACATCTCGAAGAATGTGTAAGTAAATGTATATATACTTTGTCGTTTGGAGACTCGTAATAATACTTAAGTAGGTAATACATCAAAAGTGGTAACATAAACTTCCGATTGGTAGAGGGGTGGTCAATCACACTGTTATTGTTTTAGGAACATACAACTAACAATATGTCACCCTGGACGCTTTATGAACATCAAATCTTGACACTTCTGTTCGAATTGGAACATGGTGTGCCGCTGTCCAATTTGATAATATGCTTTCGACTGGTATCACTGTATATTGGATGTTGACTTCATACTTTGGAAGTATTATGTAAAACTTTCGCATGCACGATGATTCCCGACTTAAAATGTTTAATGCGAAACCTAAATCAGTGCCCGGAGGTTTAATTTTATTTAAGCACCTACGCATTTGACATTGGCCCCTTAACAACATAAAATTTACTTTTTAACCGACATCTAAAAAAGGATATATTCAATTCGACTGTTTTTTTTTGTATTTTTTTTATAACATCAAGTGACGTGACGAACAAGACGTGCGCTTGATGGTAAGCAACACGCCTGTCCATAACAGTTACTGTGCCACTCAGAGCTTTAAATTGCAAAGTTCTGAGGGGCACTACCACTGCGCCCGTCACCCTGAGACATAAGTTGACAAGTCCCATATGCCTATAATTTCACCAAAAATTGTATGTATGTTGCGCGACAACTTTTGTGAACCGATTTTGATAATTCTTTTTTTGTTGGAAAGAGAGTACCTCGGTAGTGGTCCGATTTAAATTTGAAGAAAACATAACACCTCTAAGGATGGGAAACTACGGGAGGAATGACTTTTGAGGTCAGTTTTTTTAGTACTCTTTACTGAGATTATATAAAAGAAATTTTGAGAGCACATTCATTTTAGTTAGCTTAAGGAAATGTTAAATATTGTTTTAGGCCCGGTTAAGATAACAAACATTAAACACGCGTCGAATCAGTGTAGTAAAAGCATTAGACGCGCGCCTAACACTTGTCATGTGAACCAGGCTTAAGGATTAACCTTAAGTAACAACAAACGCACTACGGCAAAATTAAAATTACATTACTATCACTATTATATCTTTTTTATTGTCTCTAAGATACTTTATACACGGCTACCTATTTGTAAAAAAACTAACAACCTAGCAGGACTAATATTACTATTACCATAAGAAACAACGTTTGTTATATGACTATTCTCTCTACTATCTATATATCTACTATCTATCATCAGATTTTACTTTCGTACAAAAATAAAAATATTTAAATAGTCGCTAAGAAGCTGTGATTGATAACTCTTTGCGGTAACAAAAGAAAGCGCTAGCGTAAATACCAGTCTAAGAAACACGCAGGAGCGAAGGTGGGGGTCGTCGTTACTACTAAATACAGATCTAATCAGTACAGAGTACATAAACCGACCTCAAAAATCATTCATCCCCTAGTTTGCCACCTTTATAGGTGGAATATTTTCTTCAAATTTTCCAATTCTTTAACTGCCTTCGTGGCCGAACGGTTGCCATGCCACGCAGAGGTCCCAAGTTCGATTTCTGCTCCGGGATAAATATTTGTGTGGCCTACATTTATTTCTCTCGTGAGTTTGGGTGTAACTTTGTGGTTGTCTATGTGTTTGTCCATGGCACCCGCGACACAGGGTTTTCCTAGTGCGGGGCTATGTAGAGTGTGTGTGTTATTATTATTACCCTCTTTCCAACAAAAAAAGAATCATCAAAATTGGTTCACAAATGCCGTGCTATCAGTTATCGCGTAACATACATTCAACAAAAATATACAGTCGAATTGAGGACCTCCTCCTTTTTTGAAATCGGTTAAAAAGTATTAGATAGCACAACAAAAACTTAAAAAGTTCATTTTTGCTAAATTTCTTGCGATTTGTAATAAGTCGTGGAACAAAAGTCGTAGTTTATGAAGTTAGTAATATGGTCCTGCGAGCGAAATACAAACAAGACATTTACAACTGTTGTATAGGTATACAGCGGTTCGGGATATAATGTGTTCGTCAAGAGAACACTCGCTTAGCAAAGGTAACGCTCCCGGTAAGGGCAATCCTGAAGGGACTTGATAAATGATGAATCAAGAACGAGAATTACCATTTCATCTGTCCCCTTGACTTGATAGATTAATCTTACAAAGGCGTACTTTAAAATATCATATTGATACAAAAAGGAAAAGAAATATATTTTAAAATAGAAAAGAAAATTACATGCTCGTCAATTCACAATAAACAATACGTACCTAGACTTCAATTGTTAAATGTGACAACATAATAGAGATGAAAATTAGGCATACGCATCTCAGGAGTTAGAAAGAGACGGCAATAGCTTTGTGTGACATCACAATTTAGTGGCGTATGAAATTATCAAACCAAGGCGGACAAGTTCAGCATGATGGACATGATAAACCTTCTCCATTAATGAAACTTTGACAGCTATGGAGCGATATCCATATTGACGACGATGACTTTAGTGGCGCAATAGAAAAAAACTTGGGCCAAATATACTCATGGACATATTTAAAGGTACGTTAAAAAAGGTTAATTAACATTGTGAATGTGAACCACTGAGCACATAATTATCCCAGAACGTTTAAATTGAAAAAAGAATTAGTTTCAAATCGTCTTTTCATTTCGATTAAACTTAACTTTATCTATGATTATGAATACAAAGATCGAACACACAGAAACATTATTGTTTTCGTCGACCCGGTGGGACTTGAACGTGGGTTCATGCTGCACCGTAGCATTGCTCTTACCAACTGAGCTACGGGTTCACTTACCGAGCTGTTGAAATTCTCCTGTGTTTTTGTTACAGATCTTTGTACTGGCTTTCGGCACTCGTCGTGTGTGTTCGATCTTTGATTTCATAATCATAACTGTGCTGTGCCGTTGTCGCCCGAAATAATATGTGGCTAGTGCAAGTTGTTTATATGAACATTGTACATGCATACGCCGCTGTGGCCGCTTCTAGCAGCCGACCCGCCACTTCGAAATCCGAGAGGCGGCAATCGGCTAAGAGTAAAAGTAATCCCCGTATGCCTGTCTCCGAAAAACCACAGAGGCAGACGGATCAATGCGATGAGCACGGCTTCACAAACGTGATGAAGAGGAAGGGGAAGCCCACCAGCCATAACCTGTGTGGCACAGCACCGACAGGATCGAACTTATTGCTCCGTTCGGCAACACCGACGACGCTGCTGTACCTGTCGCCCACTACATTCATTACTCATATATCGGCGATTCCGCGGCCGGTTATATGACACCAGATTGCGCCACACGTCGTCGTCAACAAGTGCAATATATGTGTAGATTAGTTGTTTAGTTTATTTTATTGTCATATTATATGGGTCATGTGGCCTGAAATAAATGTCTAAATAAATAAAAATTGTAATCATGAGTATATTTGGACTAGTGTACTATAGCCGTATAGTATATTAAGTGGTAAAACCAGAAATGAACGTACATTCTAAAATATACCAATTGTCGATCGATACAGTAAATTAAGACCAAGTACAACTGTTATGGGCAGGCGTGTAGCTTACCATCAGGCACACGACTTGTTCGTCCCGTTACTTAATGTCATAAAAAAAAAAAAAAAAAAAGTACGAACTATATACAGTTCAATATTCAAACGAGTT